CTACCTTTTATTTAAAAGCTTTTTTTTATAAATTAAGAAATTGTCGACAAATGTACGCAACATAATGTATGTAACATAAGTAATTAAGCATAGCGGCAAATCGCACGACCACGGGGTTGATTAAAAAATGTAGTTGCTAAAATATCCATAATGTGTGAAATAATAATTTGTTTGTCCCGTCAATCTGATAGATATTACATTGAGTTTATGGACTTTTTGTACGGATTCAAAGGCTTGCTTTACATTCAACCTCGTTTTCTTATAATGTCAAGTAAAACAACAACAAAAAACAGACAACATTTTTTATGTGAACGCCTATATGACATGTGGTAGGTGTCCCTGACAAATTTGTAAACCATTTTTACGATTGTTTCTCTATGAACCAATAAAAAAAAGATATTATAATATATTATCAGTGAATGCTTTGAATAAATTGTTCGCCAGTAAATCGAACACAGTACCATGGATTTATATTACATATATAAATCCGTGACAGTACTAATAAACCTGGGACAAAGTATGAAACTGGATCTCTATGCCATGCATAGATGATATTCATGAGAATAGAAGTCAAGAAATTCAGATCAATTTGGTGGAAAAAATATAATATCCCGTTCTTATTTGTTCATCTTTCATGGACTTTAAACGACTGTCAGAACCTCAATTTTTTTGTTATTTTAATTTATATTTTAACAGAATTTCATACACGAATACACTGGCAGAGTGACACTGGTATTATATAATAAGAATGCTGATGATAATAATAAACTTCAAAAGTGAAACAATTAAATACCCCGCTAGCGGTGCGCAAATGCGTTCCATTTCCCCCCACCGAGTGCCTCAAATTTTACCGATAGTCACGTGACATCAGTAAATCACCTTAAGATTTGAAGAAATTTCTGCTATAAATTGATATTAATCAGCAGCTTTTTAATTGGTCAGATGTCACTGGGTCATAAAATGTTGTTAGAATATGTAACCGCAACTTGTGACCCTCTCTTGTGCGATATATGTGTGTTATGCAGTTAATAAGCGTGAAACGTAGGGGTCCGAGAGACAACAGCCGATTTATGACACTTCGTTTGATGCGGGTCGGACTTACTTTGAATCGGCATAACTTTTTTAATAATCAAGCAATTAACATGCGGTTTAAAGCACATGAAAGGAAATTCAATTACGGAGGGAACCGTGTCAGGGATTTTTGTTTGCTCAATCAGCGACTTAAGTATCTTTAATTACGTAATATGTATGGTGAAAAAAGTCGCATAAAATGTTTGACGTTACGTAATATTTTTTTGAGAAAAGATAGAAAAAAATTGAGACACGGTTCCCCAGATATTATAAGTATGTTTATATTCCAAAAGTTTGATGACAAAAAAGTAAAAAATGACTTTGATATGACGATTTAAAATTTTAGGATTATTATTCAAAATCAATCATTTACAAAGACATTTTTTTCAAATATGTTATTTTTTATGATGATCAACGACATTTAATGCACAAAGATTAAATAAATAACAATTATTACTAAAATAAGTTGGTTTAAATGACATTTATGCGAGTACCACGGAAAGTGTCTGTTGTCGCCTTAAATTGTAATCCTTTTCCAGATTGTATCCGTTAAGAGAATTGCAACAACTTCAAAATTAGTTTACCTGGCCCTTTTCTAATATGCGACTTATTCAAATCCCAGGATGCGATCAATAATTAGATTGCTGCTGTTGACTACGTTGTTTTTTGTTTTTGCTTTTGTTTTTTTTTTCTAAAATTTTAATCTGACTTAATCAGTGGCAGATCAGTTTAAGTACAATTTGTTATTAAGTTGCCAAATATTTCTTTTAGCAAACCTATAACATTGACGTTTTTATGTTTGATATATATAGAGGACATTTGTTTGGTTTTTTGCAAGATAAAATAAAATAACTTTTTATACAAAACAAAGCCAAACAAAAAAGTTTTATTTTATGCTTAAATACAAGTTAAAATGAAACTTCCTCAATAGGAACTTTAATATCAAATAATTTTCCCCACGAATCAATCTACTCACAAGCATAAATTCAAAAAAGTTATTGATTTCGTAGTTTGATTAATCTAACAGTGGTAAACTAGTACCGAATTTTTGCCGATGTTTTTTTAAGACATGTGTATGTGTATGCGTGCGTGCGTGCTTGCGTTGGTGTTATTCTACAATAACAATAACTTGTAGGAGTCCATAATATAACATTTTTAAACCTATATAAAATACAATTAACTCATTTGCATTGATTTGAATTTATTTATGGATGCCAAATCAGAATTGATAGAAAAGAGAAATGAAAGATAGAACGAAAGATCATCATCATACATATAACATTAATTCAACATTACAATTTAAATCGATGTTAAGCAAGCGCATTTGAATGTAGTCATATATGTATATGTAAGAAAAAAGAGAATAAAACAGGGTTCATGTCCATCATCATATATTTTATCAGGCAATATTTCGGCTTGTATCGTCTGTCCGGAGCGTTGTACTATTACTGTTACAGGATGTTGAGAAGGAATTCAGCAAAACCCGGGTGTTTCGTCATTACAGTCGAACCCAGTTGGACAGGGTTGGGGAAGTGTTTGGCATTCGTTGATATCTGTTGAGAAAAAATTACTTTTAACTTCCATACTGTAAGTTATGTAGACCTTCATTTGCATGTTGTAAGAATACGATAACAAGAAGCATTTAAAACGAATACTAATTTGGGCGGGATCGCACATCATGTTTTAAGTAATGTAAAGCTATTCTGACGTAATTAGTAAAACATAAGATGATATGACAGAATTGGTTAAAACGTGGTGTATAATTAAATATCCTTGTCACATTAGACATGAGTATGTAGATGTTGCATTGTCCATTACCAGTTATACATTTAGTCTTGAAAATATTGTAGAAGAGTATGGAAAAAACTGTTATTTAAACTTAATGTGGTGACAGCAAAACTTGTTAGCAATCGCATTTTAACTTTGAACGGATAGCATAAAGCATACGCCTCATCTAAGGTTTCATTCCAAAACTCTTTAGATTTTATGTTAGGAAACACAGTTATGACAAAAAAAGGTAATATACTATTTCTTACTTTGGCAGTTTCCGGGTGATCCATCCCCAGAATATTCAGTGTTACATGTACAAGAGAGGCTTCCATCGCTATTCTGGCATGAAGCATTAGTGTCACATGGTGAGGGTGAGACATCGCATTCGTTGATGTCTGCAAATGTAAAACATAAAATTTCCATATAATCAACACAAAAATTTTTTTTCTTAAAAGAGACTTAAACTATTTTTTCTCTGCTTTCTACAAGTTAAGCTGTCAATATAACAAGAATTTGTATGCATCCATAAGATTACATTTTTAAAAAGAATGTATTGTCACAAGTCAATTTTCAATATGATACTTAAGGGTAAAATGACGACCATTATAACATACCAAATAAGAGTAATGCATTTGCACTCATTTCGACTGGAGACTTTCATTAAATACCTTAAGAGGTTCAATATGAAATACAAAAAAAAATGCATACGAACAGTATGAATAATGACAATAATGTACGGATATAAAGGCTTTCTTATTTCTCACTATTTGCTGCTGGCTGTATACTCGTGGCAATAATTAACTACATTTTGTTACAGTAGGTCATTTATACTTATTATTCCAAGTTTTTTTTACAGACATAATCAAAGAGGTCCATTATGTTTTATACTACATCCAGTCATGAACTTTTATGTCCGTGATTTAGTCAAGACCGAAACGCTTCATGAGTTTTAAACATCAATAATTACTGATCTACGCACGAAACGCCATCACCAGTGTATCCTTCGTTACAGGCGCACGTTAAGCTTCCTACGGTGTTTGTACATTCGGCGTTCTCATCACAATTGTCCGTATTAGTTGTACATTCGTTGATATCTGAGATACGTAAAAACGAAAGACAGTAATATATACATGTACATATTGTCTCATATACTTGACTTAATTCATTTTTATTTGTGCTATGTCAGAAATAATATAGAGTAAACATTTAAGTTCATATATGGTAAAAATAACAAGACATCAATTCTGCAATAATTTGTAATAATCATGTACATTTGAGTTCATGCAGAAATAAAATAGGCGCCCATACCTGATATATTGATATATGTTGCTACACGTGAAACATTTTTAGTCCTTAACCAGCTGAATTTCATTGATGCCACCTTTTCATTATTTGGAATTACCAATATGATCAATATTTTGAAATATTTGAATTTTTTGAGCTATCAAAGGGGAGGTTAATTCAAATTTCAATAGAAAATAGGAAATGTAAGCAATGCACAAGTTATTTGTAACAAAACCTAGATTTGCGTTAATAATGCATATAGTGACATGTAGACAGCTGATTATTAACTTATTAGGTTATTAACTTTCTCATCGTATTTTCTATATGATGCACAGAAATTAAGTATATGTTTTGAAAAGATACCTGACCTTTTACTCTGTTATTAACAATTTAAGTTGACAATAATACGAACTTCAGGTTATCCAATATATTTATTGGTCTCAATCATTTTTGACAAACTAAGGGATAAAATCACGACAATGTTTTACATACTGAATTATTTAGCGTAATAACTTTGTCCTGCTTTGAATTGGGGGAGGAGGAGGATGTTTCTTTGTCTAAAAACATTTTTACAAGTACGTAAATAATGAGCAACAAACGGTTTTAAGCTCGGCCATACTGTAAGGATATAAAGGCTTGCTGGTGCTGGCTGTATACCCGTGGCAATAATTAACTACTTTTTGTTACAGTATGTCATTTATACTTATTATTCCAAGTTTTTTACAGACATAATCAAAGAGGTCCATTATGTTTTATACTACATCCAGTCATGAACTTTTATGTCCGTGATTTAGTCAAGACCGAAACGCTTCATGAGTTTTAAACATCAATAATTACTGACCTACGCAGGAAACCCCATCACCAGTGTATCCTTCGTTACAGGCGCACGTGAAGCCTCCATCGGTGTTTGTACATTCGGCGTTCTCATCACAATTGTCCGTATTAGTTGTACATTCGTTGATATCTGAGATATGTAAAAAGACAGTAATATATACATGTACATATTGTCTCATATACTTTACTTAATTCATTTTTAACTGTGGTATGTCAGAAATAATATAGAGCAGACATTTAGATTCATAAATGGTAAAAATAACATGATATCAATTCTGCAATAATTAGTAATAATCATGCACATTTGAGTACATGCAGAAATAAAATAGGCGCCCATACCTGATATATTGATATATTTTACTACACGCGCAACACTTTAACCCATTAACCAGCCGAATTTCATTTATACCACTTTTTTCTTTTTATTTGGAATTACCAATATTATCAATCTTTGGTAATATTTGAATTTATTGAGCCATCAAAAGGGGAGGTAAATTTAAATGTCAATAGAAAACAGAAAATGTAAGCAATCTGCAAGTTATTTGTAACAAAATCTAGATTTTTATGTTAATAATGCCTATAGTGACCACGGCCGACAGGTTATTAACTTTCTCATAGTATTTTTTATATGATCCACAGCAAAAAGTTTAAGTTTTTTAAGATACCTGACCTTTTTACCCTGCTATCTACAATTTAAGTTGACAATAATACGAACTTCAGGTTATCCAAAATATGTTTCTTGTCAAAGTAAGTTATTTTGATACTAATCATTATATTTTGAGAGACATAATAAAAGAGGTTCATCTAAGTCTGATAAGGTGCGTGATTTAGTCAAGGCCGAAACGCGTTGTGAGTTTATAACATTAATATTTACTTACCTACGCACGAAACGCCATTACCAGAGTATCCTGCGTTACAGGCGCACGTGCATTTGTGTTTGTACATTGGGCGTTATCATCACAATTGTCCGCGCCAGTTGCACATTCGTCTATATCTGATACATGTAAAAAGCACAGACAAAATTATATTCATTGTGTCTAATACACTTGAAATATTTCATTTTTATCAGAAATGAATAATATTAGCATGTTATTTCATGTGGTGAATCTAACTGGACATGAGATCTGCAATAACTTGTAATTGTATCACTGAAACACAATGCAGACGTGCACTTGAATGTGCAACACTTTTAGCACTATCTTAGGAAACCCATTTATTTGAAATCGCCCATTGGCATTATAGGGGAGAATTTGAAGTTTATTAGCCAACAGTTTAGAACCACTGTAAGGATATGTAGAAGCTTATCCGTTTAGTCTTATGCAAGATAAGAGTTAGTAATTTAAATTTCAAAAGCAAGTAGTATATTCATTATGTATGCAAATTATTCATCAATTGAGCTAGGATTGAGTTAATAATTAAAGTTGTGTAAACTAGATGATTGAAACGTTATGAACATATCTAATACTACATGTTGTATTAGCAAAAATTAAACACACAGTATACTAGTAGTTTGTTGAAAATGCAAATGACATGATAAGAGTCAAAATGAAAATCAAGAAAGTCGGACAAACCAACGTACAGACAGGTGTATAGGCATGCTCGAAGGTAGTATCTTACCAGTGGTGCATGTTGATCCTGTATATCCCGACCCAGTACAGTTACATACCACATTGCCACCCTTTAACCTACACTGACTTGTCATGCTGCATGGGCCTAGAGATATAAATATAACATTCTTTAAAACTTAAATACTAAACATTATTGACCTGAAGATGCAATCTGAGTACTTTCTTTACAAAAAAATAATTTTCGGCATTAAAGGGACTCCACTGAGGTTTTTAGACATGACGGGACTTCGAGATTAATGTTCCATTTGATGTTGTTGTTTTGTTGTTTTGTTGTTGTTGTTGTATTTGCCCGAGCTGTTCTATGTAAGAAATTCAAATTTTATATTTAAGGGTTTGTGACTTAAGTGGAGTTCGTTTAACGTATATTGACTTTAAAGCTGCATGCCTCCAGATGAGCCAAAATATTTCAAGAAAATAAAACTTGAGAAAAATGTATTGAGGTTTTATGAAAATATTTCAAGAAAATAAAACTTGAGAAAAATGTATTGAGGTTTCACCATATTTCTACTGCGTTACTAACGCAGTAAGGGTTAATTTTGCATATTTTGACCCCTGTTTTGTAATTTACATTGGTTGTAAGTGCCGTTTGAAATGTGCATATCATTTTCTGTCAGCTTAACAATGTTTTACTTTTGAATACATTTTCAAAATTTTCATGAACATTAGCAGGAATCTGGATGCGTGCTGCTTTAAAAGAGAGCATACTTTGAAACGGATGCCTCCGAAAACATAAATTCTAGATTTAAATTGCATGATGAAAAGTTGGTTTGTAAATTTAAGGTGTTTGTTATCTCTGCATATAACATTATATCGGCTGTCGCAACAAAGAGCGATAAGTTTAACATAAATTTGACTTTTATGAATACGGGATTAATATAAGAAAAAACAGTTTGAGTGAAAACTAAATAGAATTAAGAAAAATCGTTTCTGAAAATAAATGCGTAGGCACTCGGATCATGCTAATCTGCTTACAAATATAATTATTGTGACAGATCTCGTCAGAGTAAGTTTCTTGCTCATGTTTTTTTGTTTTGTTTTTTAATTGTTTATATTGTGCAGCAATGAAAAACAAATTCTCATTTTGTTAGAATGATATTGTATGCTTTGTGCCATAGTATCTGTTTTAAAATTGATTGTCTTGCAAAATATAACCTAAGTTTTACTATTTTTAATATATCTTTACAGATCTGGAGCTTCAATTTCACTAAAGATGATAATTTGAGGGAGATTATATTTGAAGTGGAAACTGATGATTTTCCTAATCTTGATTTAAGCTATGGGTACAAACTTAATATAACCTGTATGTTGTTTGCTTTATTACTCCTTTTGCTTTTGAGTATCTATGTTCTTAACTTAAAATATATTATAAACTTAGTTTGCAAATAATAACGGTATGAATTTTATGTTTAAGTCATACTATAACCTATTCGAACGGGAATTTCATTGAATTCTATGTTGAAAGACTCAATAAAATTGTATTTCTTTGAAACCAATGCGTATTTTGACCTAATAATTTAACAAATTATCATGTTGTTTTGTATGGTATTTTTCTTTTTTTTTCAGATTATCCCGTTGTCACTTTATCAGATAGAGAACAAATACCCGTTTGCCTTGGTAAAGATGTTGATTTGGTCTGTAGTGTGGACAGCAATCCCCTTTCAAATATCTCGTGGCACAACCAGACCGGCATTATTGAAGGTTTAATGCAGACAATTTATTGTTCTAATGTTTATAGAGCATAAATCCCTCTAAACCGTTTAATATTACTTTTCTAAGCAAGGTTAATTGCCATATACACAAGACCGATCTATGTTAAGAACCTGACTTCAATTAATTTGATTAATTAAAAAATTAGTTTGATATCATACACCTGTCAGTTTACTTCCTATTTAAATCATATTTGAAAGTCATTTCAACACCTTTATATGTAGGTCACTTCTGACTCTTTTATATTGTCAAGAAAATAATGTAAGGTTCTACGTATATGTTAGTATCATGCTTGTATGTTAGTTTTGTTGCATTAAAAATCACGCTGGTACTGTACGTAAATGTCATATAATGTTACTATTGTTCAGCTTTACTGGGAAAACCACATGTGCGTCGTTGTGCATTATTTTAGAGCAGACACCCAACTTGAACCACTAAAATTATGTTGTATAGCTTCCAAAATTAAATGATCCAAAGTCCGAAAGATGGAATGTTAATACATAGCGGTACAAAAGAAATCCTTTGAATTTAACGATTTTTATCATTTGCCCACAGTGCCAATGTGATAATGTGATAAAAACATAATTAACGCAATAGATCGATCAACATTTCAAATAAAGTTTATTCACTTCTTTAGAAAAAATTGGAGCAAACAGAATTGAGCTTCGTTTAAAAAACATTTCGACTGACCATTTCCAGACGTATAGTTGCAAGGCACATAACGGAATTGGTGGAATTGTAACAAAAAATATAACGCTTATTGTGAAAGGTATTATTTGTTCACCACATACTTTGATGTTATCGTTGATGTAAAAGTGATCTAGAAATGAAATGAACTTAAAGAGGTGCGCTTTCTGATACATTGTTATTGGTATAAAATATACTATTCCTAAAGAGTTTCTCCGGGTGTTCAATACTATAAATCAACAATTATTAACAAGCTATAATATTTTGAAAATTAGTTTAATCACCTGGACATGTGTAGTTAAGAACATAGTGTTACCATATCTAGACACATTACGAATAAGAACATTTAAAACAAACAAATGGTTTAAATTTATTCCAAACGATTTCTCTAGTGTCTCTTAACCCTTGCGTTATGACACACATTTCTGTTTGTATTGAATCTATTAACCAAAAAATCACAACACTGTTAAGACATCAAATCATACTAGGTTAAACAGCATAGTTTTCCTTGTTGTTTTTGAAACATTTTATGCAACAGCCATTTATTTTTCCTGATACAGAAATATGAAACTTTCTTGAAACTGACTGACTGGTCTTCAAATTTTAGGTTTGTTAGTCTATCTTAATGTGATAATATTATAAGTCATTCAAGAAATAATCCTGCCATATTTTTTGCAAAACATTATCACAATACATTGGTTTCAGGTAAACATACGTTCTTATTATTACTCATCAATATTAATAAAAGAAACTAGGTTATTAAGTTTCAGAATCCTTGTATACTTAGTTGAGAGGTGTTCAATTTCTGAAATAAGTTATATCAAATATATAATTATATTCTCTTATATTTTGGCCATAAACAAATTATTGACATGAAAATCATTTCATATCTACATCTGTAGTAATCCAAACTCGCCCAGTGAAGTTACCAGAATATTAAACTCACGCAATATTCCATATCTATCAACTAAGAAGATGAATTAATGTTTCCTTGGATCGTTCAAACCATGTAGCATTATCAAGTGCAATTTAGTGTTAAAAATGACGCAATTGTGTGGTCATTGTTACTTTATCTCAAAAGTGCAAGTTTATAAGTGTTCAATAAAAACAACACTATCAAATCATCCTCGGAAAATGTTTACATCTGCGGAATAATTCGTCAAAAAAAATCAAGAAACAAATTAGAGACAAGCAATATTTCATTTGTTTTTCAAAATTCAATGTACATGTAGAGAAGGAAACGATGAATTAGTTACCCATCATTTCAAATATTTGTTTCTTATTATCAGGCAAAGAATGTGATTTAGTTCTCATCAATTGCTTTTGAATATTCTTGTATCTGGACAGTACATTTGTTATTGGCAAGCAAGATTTCTTTGAGCATATTTGAATATGTTAGTTTCTGAAAAACATATGTATGGCTGACCGATAGTTTTTCGCATTAGATATACACGATTATCTTTTTCCATTTTTTCTTCAAAACAGAACTAAGATTGCTCTGAAACGTCATATTTCTTCATAGATTTGGAAAGAAAATTATGTTCTGATGAACATATATATATGAATTATACACACAAAAGAAAAACTCTTAATGAGGAATTGTATTATGATCATTTTCAATAACGTTTAATTGTTTTCCTTTTCTCCCTCAGATCCATCAGAAATTGTAATATCCGAGGCAATAAACCCATCGGCCGAGTCAAACATTGCCTGTATCGTGGTACCGATTATAGGTTGTATAAGTTTTGTTTTTCTGTTTGCGGTTATTGTGGCTGTAGTCATCCGTTGGAGACGACAGAATGCACCATTAGACAGGACGAACATTCCTGAAATTGAAGCTGAAGAAAGGAAAGCGTATGTATAACGTATACATGTACATAGATCTCGATTCAGCATTGTCCATTGTATCACTTTGTCTTAACATGCACATAGGAGTCCTTATTTGTCTACTTTATCCCTTGTGTGCAATTATGTAAGTGGAGAATATCATGATAAGTCAATAGCAGATAAGAGCAAATAATGAGAAGGACATAAATAGAATTATTTATCAATTTATTTCTATGTTTTATGAAGTCGCTTAGGCTTAAGTCTTAATGAGCATTTTTGGTCGGCTTTGACGCCACGCCAACACAACGAAGGGCCTAATGCGACTTTCTAGCTTTACTGGTGTGGGGCCTCAGGAAACTCTCCGTGCATCAATGAGGGCATGATAAGTCACCTGCGTATAACTACCAACGTTCTTTAAGCCAACTGAATTCGGATACGCAACTGATTTAATGAATTTGAGTGAGAAACCTTGGCATTTTTTAACAATGCAGTGTATACGGGATGTGTTCTTTGTTTTCCTACCACGGAAGTTATATGCAAATAATATGTCCTTACCATGCTATATTTTCAGAGTATTACATCCTTCTGGAAACGGTAAGCGAACTTGAACATTTTTGCGTTTGCAGGTGTTTAATATGTGCAAAGAGGAATTTAAATGATAACTAAACTTTTAATCCTTAACTCATTCCTCTGCATGATGTAAATACCGCATATCATATAATCTTTGTTATGCCAATATCCCTAAGATTTTCATAGATTGTCTGTCCCGTTTGTGCAAAACATATAGTAGGTCGGCTATAACAGTTACAATGTTTTCATTTTTGTTTTGGCAACAAACAAATTAATATTGGGTTGAACTTTGATGCAAGTAATATAAATAGCATCGAAATACGAGGCTATGTGATTTGTACAAGGGGGCATAGCCTCTTCCTCTTTAGCACCATATGTCAGTATAATACACATTTCCTGCTATCACAATATGAAACCCCTGAAATAAGGAACAAATGAACGAGCATCTGAATATGATATTTCTATCTTAATCCCTTCCTCTGTCGTCACATTGAGTAAACCCCAGAAATATTGAGCCAATCTTTGCGCATGGTCTTGAGGGCAGGTAACTAATACCTGTACTCCAGTTAACGCACTGTGCATGTACTTGTAAACGATTTAACTCTTGACACATTTTCAACAGAAAAGTATCCAAACTATGATACAAAAACAGATGCTATCAAATGATCATTCAACACTTTTCTTTTCATTACTTTATCTTAAATGGTTCTCTATAAAATTGATATTTTTTCAATGTTGAGAATGAGTTTTGTTAAGTTTTGTAACCAATTTAAGTCAAGAACTATGTCAGAATAGGCTTATAAGACCACAATTAAGACTTCTCCTTGTCAACATACTTAAAAATCAGGTTTGTTATTAAAAAGCTCAACGTTTTGTGGAATACATGCACATTTAGTACGGTGTCGCTATAAACAAACACGAAACATTCTGTTACAAGTATATCAGTTTAAACTATATTTATTTGAATTTCGAGTGATATGTCTCGTACTTAACTTTTATTTGTTATATTTTACTTGTTCTTCTTAATCATTGATTCTGGCACTTTTAAGTGGTGAAAATTGAGTACCGCTCAAGCCGGTGCTAGGGAACATGAAAGATGTTGTGCTTCTTTCAATATCCTTCATGTACAAACTCAATCAACCAAAGTCTGAAATTTTCATGCAATTTTGTTGTTTAAATGCTTCCGAGCGATCACTTTTTCCAGTTATATGACCAACATGTTAAAATTGGCGTCAAGAAATATAAAAACGATATTAAAAGAAACTCCGTTTTGTCATGTCATTTTTTTACTTTTAAGTGCCCATAAACAACAGCTTGTCAGAGTCTGGAAACGCAGCAGAACCGCCAGTATACGCATGCGTCATTCCAAAGAAAGACAGAGGGAAATTCCATGCTAATAATGCGACTGGAAATGATGCAACTAACAAAAATGTAATCATTGAAAAACTTTGTTATATTTATTTACTGATATTTGATGTATTGAACTTAATATAAGGCATAGAATGTTTCTCTCTTATTATACAAAGCACAGTTAAAACATTTTATACGGTATTTTTTGCACAATAGGTCACAATTTCAGTCTGTGATGGTGGACTTTAGAATTGTTTCATTCTTTATTAACAAACTCGAGTAAGCCTGCAATTTTCTTTAACCCTGTAATATTTCCCTTGTTAAATTTTTAACTTAATTTTTACTTTTTAAATGAATAAAGTTTTGTATATTGTTTATTGTTATATATTTAGGTTCATGCAAATTTACGCATGCAAATCTCTTGTTATTTGGAAAGAACGAAGCAAAATCAAGGGTATGTGTGTATGATTACATTAAAATTTTACAGAACGAATGGGAAGACAATCTAGTGAATGCTGACCTAGATCTAGCCGAATATCCTGACCTGGCAGCTAGGAGACCTCTTGTTACCATGCGGCAAAGTATGTCTCAATAGATTTTAGTAAAACCGGTCTAGCAGCGATAGAAGACAGCTATTGAGACACAAAAAGCATGTCAATTAAAAAGCGGCCAATATTATTGTAAAACCAACATTAACAACGAAAGCCCAATTCCGTCACAAAAGAATATCGTGCCATGAACATTTATGCAAATGATGAAAATGATTAAAATGTCTCCATTTGACTCCATTTGATAAATATTAATCTCTAAAAATATTTATATTTTTATGAATGGCTTCATATACCATTTTACTGATTAAAAAAACACGATTTGTGATACGATAGAGCAGGTATGTTTTAACCAAGTGCATTAGGGTAACAGTTTGTTTGCTTTGTAAATATTTGATTTCAATACGTATATCAAAATTTGATCTTGTTTGAGAGAATATTCCGACACTGAATTATTTATGTTATGTAATATCTAAATCATTTTTGTGTTTATTTTAAGATTTTGACCAACCTTAAAAAAGTTTGGTTCACCGATATAACGACACACGACAAAATTATTTACGAAAATGGACTCTGGTACTTTTTTAAGATTTTGATTCATGTACTTCACTTTTCATATTATTTATTATTCCTTTTTGTGATTGATGTTGTTTTATTGTTTTTTTTGTAAAAAAAACTTTCGCAAGTCAGTGGCCAGTGATCAAGACAATTCTAACTACCTTCTTCAGTGGAATAAAAAGAATGCTTTGAGGCAAATAATAGAGATCAACAAAAGACATTAAAATATATTACCAAATTTCCAAAGAATATCAAAGTTTTCCACCTCCCCCTCTCAAATATTACTAGGTGTCCATGTGATTGATAGCAAAAGAAAAAGTAAAAAAAAGAACACATTGTCGGGTATATTTATGTGTCGGAAGTTATCTCTCCATACAACAAGTAATATTGAATTAAATCCCTGTAATATATTTAGGTAAATAATATTTAGTAGCATTTTCAAAGTAATTATTTCATGATTTCATTACCAATCTGATTTTATAGACGGAACTTCACATATATGTATGGATCAGTTATTTACCTGTCATTTTCCCCCGTAATAGATATTGAAGTAAATAAATAATTTAGAGAGAATAAGGTTTCTTTTATTAAATTAAGAAATGCAAAATTAAACACATCTAGAGTATATTTTTGTTATAAATTGGGGGTGTTATTTGTTTAACAATATGATTTTCTTTTGTATGAAAGGTCATAATATCATTATAGTTTAATTGCTGATTTTGTGTAAAGTTCAATGTAAAAATGTTTAACTTAGTGATTGATTAACAACTGTTGTCTGTCTTTCATGCTTGATTTAATAACATTTGTTCTGTTTTAAGTCACAACCGGCATGGGACTTATGGTGACTTTCCAGTATACTACTGGAGTAAATATTTTAGGTGTTTCTTCTTTGCACAAGAGGGCATATTAGTAGACCCACTGATCTCCAGAATGTTTACTTGAGAGTTACACACATGCGTTATTTCAAAGTATTGGCTTGGATTCAAACGCGGATTCAAATGTGATTTAAAGGTCCACAACACTAAGATTTTGTATACATTTTGATCGCTAGATATGTGTCATTATTTATTATGTTTATATACCATTATACAATAAACTATCCTAATTTATTTAGTTCGATTCTGTTAAAAGCTATATGTTTTAAACACTATCGAATCCATACCTGGAACAAGCCAGTACTAACCAATGAATGAAAAGTATATTGCTCAAGGAAAAAAACGGCTTGCCCCTTACATGGTTTAAACCAACGCGGTCAGCAGTCTTAATATTACTAGTCCGACGCGTTAACGTCTCGGCCACGCCGCCACTCCCGTGTACATATAGCTGACATATTTAACTTGATTTAATTCTAATGGATAATAAAACGCGATATTTTACTTAACAGTGTGACTTATTTTTCCGGCCTTTTCAATTTTTTACTTCCTGTAAAATTAACAGAGAAGAACTGAATTTAAAAAAGAGTTTTCATTGGTCATTCTAAAATTACAAACTGAAATCTGAGAAACTCATTTGCAATTCTGAAAAAAAAGTAAAGTGTAGTTCTTGCCATTATGAAATTAAATGTCGAGGATAGTTGTAAAACAAAATTTACAGGAAAGTTCATTAACTTTCTAGTTAAATTGCTCTGATATTTAATGTATGTTTAACAATACTTCTTGCATTCCATTCAGATCTCATTACTTTTTCTATCGAACAGTTTAATTTACGTAAGAACTTACGGAGTTTATTTAACACAAGATCTGAGCTTTAAATGTTGTGCAAATAGCAGGAATAATATCAAAATTATAGGTAACCTATGTTTATGATGTTCAATAAGTGTCTATTCTAATATATTATATGATGATTGATGTGTTAAATTAATATAATTATATCTTTAATTTTTTATATATTTTTGCAAATTAATAAAGTACAATGCATTTATAGAAATAATTGCTTTACCGACTGCGTAGATTTTGGTGTTTGAAATTGAGTTAATCATAGGAACTCGACAGGTTTGTTTACAAACACATGCATTTTTAAAGTATTCAATTTTTCAAGATAAATAACGCTACAAGAAATGATTATGTTATTGATATACAAGCTATGCTATCATGCCTATATAACTTTGTATAGAAAACAAAGAACTAACATATGCAAGTTAACCAGTATAACGTTTTTTTAAAGGTATGTCTTGTTTAACTTTTCTGCAGCAACTTAGATTTATAATATCAAATTATGAGCAATTATGATTTTAGCAGAGTAACCATTGTCTATTTCGCTATAAGCTTAGTAACACAATGTTATAAAAGTAATAGTCTTCATGGGTATTTTAAGATAATGTTGATGTTAAATGTTATCTAGAAAATTAATTATTTCATTAACATATCTGTCAATACTCAAATAATTTCATGAAAGTACTTTTAACTGGTAGTACAAATTTTCTATTCAAAATGCAGTGACGCTACAGCAATATGTGTAATCAATTATGTTACGTACAGGCTTTCTTAAACATTGTTTTTATTCATTTACAGAAAAAGACAATGTTAAAAATGTAACTGATAGTTGTTTGAATATATCTATCTATTGCTGCGCCTAGTTGGCATCGTGTTTTAATGATTTACACGAACATTGTCGTTTCTTCATGAACACACTGGACAAACTAAGTGGAAATAACATTTATCAGAAGGAAAATATATCTTAATCGGTGCATCATGTTGCATGATTGTGTTGCATGTGTTATATAAAACTTTTCCCACGTTTTTTTATCCTTTCATGAACACTCTAGACAATGCTTGAATTACAGTTAATAACACCCAATTTAAATAAAAATTGTTAAAATATCATGTATAAGCTTTCAAAACTTAACATTGACATGATACCAGTATGTCAACTTTATAATGATATTCAGAAGAAGGAAGATAAATGTAAGTTATACGATTCTTTAATATATATTTAATACTTACATAGGATACAGAAACTACTACACAAATAACATGTTTACTACATAACACGAATAAGGCATAAGTAATATAGAAAAATCATAAAAGTAGATAGGTTGATTTCATAGTAAACGCTTCAATTGTTTTATACCATTTTAATTGTTAAGTGCTTTTTTGTGTTTAATTTTATCACACAAGACTTCTTATTTTTAAGTTAAATTGAAAATGTCATAATTTCAAAAAAAATGAATTTCATTCTTAAGGTTTCGTTTGACTTGTGTTGAACTTATCACCTTTAGTTGTTGCGTTTGTTCTGATGTTGTGTTTGTCAATTATTTCTCTAAAAGTAAACAGCTTTGTGAAATTGTTCTTTAGTTTTTACTGTTTCCACCCGACGATCAGTCATGAGATAAAACTAATTGCAACCATCTTCCACCTGATCAGACTTAAGAGAAAACCAATTTCAACCATCTTCCACCTGATCTGATCAGACATGTAAGAAAACTAACTACAACCATTTCCCATCTGATCAGACTTGAGAGAAAACCCATTACAAAAACCTTCCACCTGATCTAATCAGACCTGTAAGAAAACTAATTACAACCATTATCCACCCGATCAGACATTTGAGAAAACTAAATACAACCAGATATCACCTGATCAGACATGTTAGAAAACTAATTACAACCATCTTCCATCTGATCAAACGCTTGAGAAAACTAATTACAACCATCTTCCACCTGATCAGACATGTAAGAAAACTAATTACAACCATCTTCTATCTGATCAGACTTGAGAGAAAACCAATTTCAACCATCTTCCACCTGATCTGATCAGACATGTAAGAAAACTAATTACAACCATTTCCAACCTGATCAGACATTTAAGAAAACTAAATGCAACCATCTTCCACCTGATCAGCGTGTGAGAAAAACTAATAACAACCATCTTCCACCTAATCAGACATTTGAGAAAACAAATTACAACCATCTTCCACCTGATCAGACGAGTGAGAAAACTAATTATAACCATCTTCCACCTGATCAGTCATTTGTGAAAACTAATTACAACCATCTTCTACCTGATCAGACTTGAGAGAAAACCAATGTCAACCATCTTCCACCTGATCTGATCAGACATGTAGAAAACTAATTACAACCATTTCCCACCTGATCAGACATTTGAGAAAAATAATTACAACCATCTTCCACCTGATCTGACATTTGAGAAAACTTAAAACAACCATTTTCCACCTGATCAGACATGTAAGAAAACTAATTACAACCATCTTCCACCTGATCAGTCATTTGAGAAAACTAATTACAACCATCTTCTACCTAAACAGACTTGAGAGAAAATCATTGTCAACCATCCTCCACCTGATCTGATCAGACATGTAGAAAACTAATTACAACCATTTCCCACCTGAACAAACTTGAGAGATAACCAGTTACAACCATATTCCACCTGATCTTATTAGACCTAATTAGACCTGTAAGAAAACTAATTACAACCATCTTCCACCTAATCAGACATGTGAGAAAACTAATAACAACCCTTCCCCACATGATCAGACATGTAAGGAAACCAATTATAACCATATTCCACCTGATTAGACATGTGAGAAGACCAATAACAGTATATTTCTACTTGATCATGTAAATGAGTTATCGAAAACAAGTTCCTCCATAAGCAGAACAGTGTTATAATTGCTGATAACCAGTTTTTACCTGATCAGAAACGTTGGATAATCGACAGCCAGCTGCCATTACATGACCCGCAGACATGGGGTTATTGTAGTTGTGTGGTCGTAATCGATTGCAATTAATTACAAGTTGTCCATGCATGTAATTCAATGTCTTCAATTACTATTTAAAAGTCAAATATATATAAACGTAAAAAGTGGGCAAAAAGTGGTGTAATCGTAGATTAAATTTATGTTGCAAATTAACAGTTTTTGGCAAAGAAAAAAATCAAATATGGAACTGCTTTATTATATTCTTGTGCAAAAAATATAAATAATATTAAATATTAAAAATACTGCAAAGTGTACTGGGTGTAGTATAAAATAACAAAATATATATTATATTGAACATAAAATTGTATACATAAAATTTATTGTCATACAATTCAGATACTGTGTAATGGAAAGGGTTATAAACTTATACAGTAAGTTAGCCGAGAAGTGTTGTTGACAAGTAAAAACAAAGGTTACGACATATCTAACAGAGTTTGCATAAACATAACCATACATTTTAGAAACAAAGAAGAAAGATATTTGTTAACTTTACATTATATCACTATCACTAAGATGACATAACCGTCATATGTTCTTAGCATTTGTTGTCGTAGTTATCTCCCTTTTACCAGTCTGCATAAGGAAAAACAATGTTATGGATGCTAAAAGAGTAAAATCTAAAGTTGTGTCTTTCCTTTAAATGAATAATACACAATACATAATCGTAACTCAATGGATTATATTAAGAAGTATTCGACTTCATGTGTGATGACCTGACACGTGAGATAATCGGGAATAACCAGCTCCTACCACATAATAAGATAAGTGAAATAATCGACAACAAACTTTCTTCTCATGAACAGATAATCGACAAAAAGGGCCCACCTTCTGATCAAACACAACAGACGACCAGCTCCCCCCTGATCAAGAACATGAGATTATCGACAACCATCTCCCCCCACATGAACAAACACGTAAGATAATAGACAACCGGCTTCTTCCACATAATCAGACACGTGAAATAATTTAAAATAGCCAGCTCGTAGTTTTATTTTTATTTTTCATTAGATAACCGAAAAAAAACCTAGGTCTCATTTGACAATACTTGTGAGAAAAAAAATCAGTGTGCGACTTAAGCTTTTTAAATACAACTCTCCCCCTTAACTATTCTATCTAAATAAATGCACAAATTTATACCAGAAAAAATCATTAAACTGTACAAATAATATATATTGTCATATTTAAAAAGTATGTGTACGTTGATTTAGAGAAAGAAGAACCTGTTATATTTAAGCAAATCAAAATGGAATCTCTTCGTTTGGGATTTACAGGTGTTATTTTCTTTATAGTGGTAGGAATCAAGCCGTCGTGTGAGTATTAATATTTGTTAACATGTATAAATCAACAACGCGATATCCTATATGAAACAAATAATGATATGCATACAACTTCGAAAATGTTCTGAGATCCTGTATTTTTGTGTAATCTTAACTCACAAAATGCAAAACAAAATATTAATATATTTTAAGTAAAGTGAATTAAATATGTGTTTTAAAATTTAGGTACCCAGTTGAGCACCAAACAAAGAAATATATGATGAATAGAATATTACATAAGTAGTGCATATGAAGTTTGTTTAGCTTTACAATTAAAATAGTGAATATATGAAAACCAAACGAACTTCCAAAACCGCAAATTAAAATTGTGGCAGGCTCGGTTTGATTTTGCCTGTTTAACGATACTGGAAAAAGAAAGCCTTTGCCCACGCTACCTAACAGCAAGTATATTAAATCTTTAAAACAAAATTAAATATCAAAATTAAATTTACTGATTTCTAATTACACAATTTGGTATCTGACGTACCTGCAGGAAAAACATATCCCGATAACTAACTTTTTAAGGCAATGCTAACAGTTAGTGTCCTGACCTTGAAAGAAAAACATAATCTAAAAATAACTATAATCTAAAAATTAAATTTAAAGAATGGCGTTAATCAACTGATTTACGAATCACTGTAATATTTCTCGTCTATACTAATGTTATCATTTACAAACAATACACACTTAGTAATACAACTGGTTACAGTATTTTTTCTACACAACCTAACTTTCACCAAAGATAACCAGAAAGTATCTTATAGGAGAAAGCACACGAGAAGTGTTTAAAAATATTCACGTCATATATCTTTGAAATCACATATAATCTGACATGTATAAGGGCGTCCGTAGCAGAGGCATTGAGATCGTTGACTTCAAATCAATTGTTCCGCACTGTTGCGGTTTCGAATCGTATAGAGCTTCGACTCTTCCATGTGAGAAAGCTATGCAACTATAGGCTACAGAAAGTTGGTGCTTCTACTCAGATGCCCGTCCGTGTTTAAAATAATGCACAGAAAGATATATGAGGTTTTCTGCAACCAGTAAAGTTAGAACGTCGCTATTTGACCTATACTGTATTGGTGTGACGTAAAACAAAAACAAAAAATCTGACATGTATATACAATGGTGGCTGATTTATGCCATTTTTTCGCCCCGCGACCCCGCGAAAAGTCGAAAATTAACAAGTTAAAATGGCGAGGGCGCGCAGCGAAAACACGCTAATTAGCAAGGGCGCCGGGCGAAGTTTAATGAATAAAACTTCGCCCCGCGGGGCCGCGGACCGAGATTTAAGAAATAAAACGGCGGGGTCGCGGGACGAAAACACGATAATTAGCGGGGTCGCGGGGCGAAATTTAATAAAAAAATATTCACCGCGCGCCCCCGCTAATGAGCGTGTTTTAGTCCCGCGACCCCTCCAAGCGAAAAGTCGATAATTAACATGTTAAATGGCAGGGGCGCGCAGCGAAAACACGCTTATTAGCGAGGGCGCGGGGCGAAGTATAATAAATCAATCTTTGCCCCGCGGGAGCGCGGAGCGAGATTTAAGAAATAAAACGGCGGGGTCGCGGGACGAAAACACGATTTTTAGCGAGGGCGCTAATTAGTGTGTTTTCGCTGCGCGCCCCGCCATTTTAACTTGTTCATTTTCGACATTTCGCTTGGCGGGGTCGCGGGGCGAAAACACGAATGGCACAAATCAGCCACCATAATATACTCATTTGTTAAATCTCATACATTACAATATACCACTTAATAAACATCTTTCACTAACTGATCTATTTCCGATCTGTTAAGAAGGCTCTTTTGATATAAATGTAAGCATCCTATGTATAAGTTAACAGTCAAATACATGTACAATCCACAACCACATTATATCAAGCTCTTTTATTTATTTATTCATTTATTCATTCATTTCATTCATTCATTCATTCATTCATTCATTCATTCATTTTTATTTATTTATGCATAATAGTAAATGCCGTTAACTGAGTGTTTGTCTCTTAACAATAAAAAAACCCCTTTGAACTGTTTCTTCCACATCATTTTTTCCAAGACCCAATTGTATCCATAGTTCTATAAAAATGACAAAAAACGTTGGCGCTCATATTAAAGTTTACTTATATTTGCGCTGTCGATTGCAATCACCCTGTGTGTTTTACTGTTAGAAAACAAAATATTCTAGTTCAGGTGCGATAACAATAACCTCAAAAATTTTAATCACACTTTTCATGCATTTTTTTTGCTTTATCTCAAATAAATAAATTCATAACACAACTTGCACTGTAGGCAGGCTGTATTTAAGTGTTTGATACATATATAGATAATATATACTTTATTAACTTAAACTTTAACAAATTATTTATAATAAAAATTTACAATCACATGTCAATGGCATACATAGAAACAATAAACACACACACACACACACGCACGCACGCACGCACGCACGCTTACACGCGCGCGCGCGCACTTACATGGTAAATGAAAACATTTATCACACGGAGAAGGAGGATGAGTTTTTGAATACAGTTGCATACAAAAATTATACACAACCTAGATTAAGTAAAGTACAATATGCGAATAAGTAATAGTAGGAACATAAACTGCATTTTTTTGCATTTGTAACTTTTTTTAAATGGAAAAGCAGAGTAAAATGTATTTTTTTCTTATTCTTAAGCAAAACGTTAGATCTGTATTATATACGCGCTCTACACTTTTAGCCCTTTGATAGCTCAGCCGGTAAGAGATGTGGTACGGACCTATTCTGAGGGTCCAGGGTTCGAATCTGGGTCAGGCTGCACATTCTTCTCACCCTGTGACATTTGGAGCCCAACTTGGGCCTGTGACTGAATATAGTTCAGAGTTAAAATCACATTGCTTTGTATCCTGTGAAACTTGAGGATGAATTTTCAATATAGCCGGAAAGTATCCCAAGCTTAAGAACTTTACTATTTAGGGGAGAAAATGTATAAGAAGCCGTATAGCTCAGTCGGTAGAGCAGCGATATGGTATTCCGAGGGTTTTAGGGTTGTGTCCCAATCAGGCTGCACAATATTTATTTTTGTTTTGTTGTTTTCTTTACTTTAATTTCCATCTTTTTTGTCATTTTTCCTGTACTGACTGCGATATTATTTTTTTTAATAAAATAGATGGGAAGCAGAGGTAACAGTATGATGAAATGCCAAATTTAAGGCGGTTGTACCCGAAATATGTGGCAACAAAATGAATTCTTTATTGTCGCATGAAAAAAATTGTCTCCACTCCCTCATTTTCTTTATTTGTGTTGTCGCGGTTGAAGGGCCCATTCACAAAATACTGACAAAAGGTAAAAAATGCGACAAAATAAAAAATAAATGTTTCTCATTCTGACACTCTTTCATGTTTTTGCTACTTGTAACAACCACATGTCACGGTTCAAAACTATTAACTTTTTAGGGGGAATATAGTGTAAGCACCCAGATAGCTCAGTTGGTAGAGCTGCGGTACGGTATTCTGAGGGGTTGAGGGTTCGCGTCCCAGCCAAGCTGCACATTTTTTTTCACCCTGTGACAATTGATGCCCAACGGAGGACTGGGACTTGATATAATTCAGAATTTAAATTACAATGCTCTGTAACTCTGTAAATTGAATGATGAATTTCAATATAACACGGGAGTGTCACGGTTCAGGGAGTGTCACGGTTCAGAAGTGTTCACTTATTATGGGAGAAGGTGTGAGAGCGGCTGGATAGTTGTCGGTTGAGGTGCAATACAGTATTCCGAAGGTCCCAGGTTCGACTCCCGGTCAGGCTGCACATTTTTCTGACCTTGTGACACACAAGCAAACAAAATAACGAAATAGCAGTAACCAGACGCCATTGTTTTGTGAAAGGGCAGCACTAAAATGCAAAAGTGGAGTTCTATTTGTTAATTTGAATTCTCATTTTTGTCTAAATGATATGTTGAGTTGAGAAAACGTTTTGTAAAATAACACCCCTTGCAAGTTTTAAAAGCATTTATTTTCATGAATTTAATACTTTTAGAACCTTGCAGGTTTTTTCAAAATGCTCTTTGAAAGATGCAAAATTTGGCGATTTAGCTCAATTTAGAGCATAAATTCTGAAGACAATAAATATTGTCAGAATATTCAAATACATGCACTGAAATAATAGTTCTATGCTGAAGATTAATACCAATTTTCAAAGCGCTTTGATATTAAACAAAGTCGCAGGCAAGTTTTAAAAAACATGTACAAACCGTGGTTATATTACGCCCGTGTGATTATTACGCGACACCGGATGTATTTCTAATTCAATTTGCATTATTTTTGTATCGGCTCTACGGAGTAGTGGCGACATAAAGGGGTTTAATTCTCCGTCGTCTGTCTGTCCAGCTGTCCGTCACAAATCTTGTCCTCTTATATTACTAATAGAATTTCAAATGAAACTTTACAGGATTGATCGGAAGCTCAAGTTCTTGTGCTTATGACACAGGTTGAATATTTTTGTCCATTTATGGCTATCATGAGGCGACACACATGATCACTGAAACTTATTTTGATATGAACAACTTATTTAAATTCAGATTTAATCACATGTGGAACTTTAAACTTCGAAAATCACACAGTAATGAAATGTCAGACTGCACGCTTAATTTACACACCAAACAAGGAACAAGCACATGAAATGCGCCAGTGGGTCAGAGAAATGTACCCAAACTCCGAGACGATTTATGACTACAAGACGTCAAATGATGAAAGCAAATATTTCGAATCCAAACAAGGCGAAAGTTTCGTCCTGTCTATATCAGCAGTTAATTCAACAGATGCTACGGCCTATCTTGTTCATTGCGGAGGCGGGCATTATACTGACCGATCAGATTTAGGCGTATCCGTTAATACTAATGGTGAGTTATTTGTTTGCTCGTTTTTTTGTGTCGCCTCTACGGAGTAGTGGCGACATATAGGGATCACTTCTCCGTCGTCTGTCTGTCCGTCTGTCCGTCTGTCCGTCTGTCTGTCTGTCTGTCTGTCCGTCTGTCCGTCCGTCCGTCACAAAACTTGTCCGGACTACTCCCCATAAACTACTGGTGCAATTTCATCCAAACTTTACAGGAATGATCAGTACCAAGTCTAGTTGTGCATATTGTCAGGATTTTCCGGTTCAATGATTTTTGTCAGAGTTATGGCCCTTTAATAATTTTTAATTTTTAAAGTTTGTCCGGACTACTTCTCTTATACCACTAATGCAATTTCAATGAAACTTTACAGGATTGATCTGTAGCTCAAGTCCTTGCGCATATTGCACGGGTTTTCCGGTTGAATGATTTTTGGCCGAGTTATGGCCCTTTGATAAAAGGTTTCTTTTTCTGTGTGTTGCCAGATACACAAAAGCTTGTCCGGACTACTCCTCATAAACTACTGGTGCAATTTCATCCAAACTTTACACGAATGATCAGTACCAAGTCTAGTTGTGCATATTGTCAGCATTTTCCGGTTCAATGATTTTTGTTTGAGTTATGGCCCTTTAAAAAATTTTTATTTTTTAAAGTTTGTCCAGACTACTTCTCTTATACCACTTATGCAATTTCAATGAAACTTTACAGGATTGATCTGTAGCTCAAGTCCTTGCGCATATTGCACGGTTTTTCCGGTTGAATGATTTTTGGCCGAGTTATGGCCCTTTGATAAAAAGGTGTTTTTTTCTGTGTGTTGCCAGATATGCAAAAAGCTTGTCCGGACTACTCCTCATAAACTACTGGTGCAATTTTATCCAAACTTTACAGGAATGATCAGTACAAAGTTGTTAGTCTAGTTGTGCACTGTCCGTCTGTCTGTCCGTCTGTCACAAAATTTGTCCCAACATGAAATTGGCCATCATGAGGCGACACATGTGATTACTGATCGCTCTTGTTTTAAGTATTTGTTTGAACAGCCAAAACGAGATAAGAGATTCCGATTTAAAGTTTTCATTTATGACTTGCATTTATATATTTTTTTTTATATTTTGCTTTGATTTACACATTTATTCCCAGTAGTATATATAATGAATATCTTCATAGAAATAATCAACAAAACAAAATAGTTTACATACTGGAAAAGGATGAGAACAAAAGACTTGTCTTATATAATTTTCTGCTGCAAGCGACTGTAAATAAAATTTGAATTTCGAGCCGGTTCGAGGATCGAAATTCAGAATTTGCAAAGGCCAAATTTCGAGCAGGGGTTTTATCTCGAGCCAGCTCAAAAATCTAAATTATGAAATTTGCAAGGCTAGATTTCGAGCTAATGTTGAATTTCGAGCCAGCTGTATTGCTAGCTGAGTTGAAGTTCTAGCTTACATGAACATCGAAATTCTTATGATCAAGCCTGGATTGAATTTCGATTTTCCTTGAACGTCGAAATGACTAAAGTAGAATTTTGAATCATTTCGAAGGTCGAATTTCAACATAAAATAGAGAAAAACAGAATCCCTAAAGAAAGTCCAACACTACAAAGTTGAAAATGTTGCAGCGTCGGTTTGATTGAGCCTGTTCATGAATGGTACTGGAAAGTGCAAGTTACCGTCCACGCCCCCTAGCACCGGCTTAAGCAGAATTCAACATTTTACACGAAAATGGTGAAATTTAATCAATGATGTTATATTTTCGATCCTTGAAGATCGTTCAGCACGACATTATTGTTGTGCTTATGATATTTTTAGTTTCAATTTTTCGGCATTTTCTAGTTGGGTGGTTCCAATATTCCTACTTGAATAATGTTGAATCACCCTTAGGATATGTTGCCTGCTTTTTAAATTTGTCTTTTGACGTCTTATCTGTGATACGCAGGCTTCATAACCTCTGATCCCCTTTCAAAATTCCATTTTATTTAGTTCCGCCGCCCATTGTTTTCTCGTTTAGGGCACATGATTTTTATTACTTGGGGACCATACGACGCTTTTCATGGAATGGCACGGAAGTGTCACATTGAAGGTTCCATGATAACCGCCGTATGAACACATCTGCGGATGTTTCTAAATCCAAAATTTTACTAATTCATGTTTAAATGTTGAATTCTGCTTAAGCCGGTGCTAGGGGGCGTGGACGTCAACTTGTACTTTCCAGTTTCGTCCATGAACAGGCTCAATCAAACCGAGCCTGCAACATTTTCAATTTTGCCGTGTTGGGCTTTCTTTAGGGATTCTGTATTTATCTATTTTTTTAATTTAGAAACGTCCGCACATGTGTTTATACGACGGTTATTATGGAACCTTCAATGTGACACAGTAGTGCCATTCGATGAAATGTGGCGAATGGTCCCCAAGTAAAAAAATGCGTATGTCCTAAACGAGAAAACAATAGGCAGAACTAAATAAAATGGAATTTTGAAAGGGGAACTAAGTTATGAAAGCCTGCATATCACAGATAAGACGTCAAAAGACAAATTTAAAAAGCAGGCAACATATCCTTAGGATGATTATACAGTATTCAAATAGGAAAACTGGAACCACCCAAGTTGAAAAGGGCCAAAAAGAAAACACTAAAATTACCACATAACATGTATGCACAACAATAATGTCGTGCTAAACGATTTTCAAGGATCGAAAATAAAACATCATTGATTAAATATTTAGTACGGGAAGACTTTTTACAGCCGCCGCCACACGGCACTCATAACACGGATGTGACAATAAAATAGAGAAAAACAGAATCCCTAAAGAAAGTTAAATGTCCAGCTGGGTTAAATTTTGAGACAGCTGGAAGAACAAAATTCAAAATTTGCAAAGGCCGAACTGTGTGCTAGAATTAAATTTTGAACTCGCTCAAACATTGAAATTCAAAGAAAGTTAAAGCCAAATTTCTGCATGGAGTTGAATTTCGAGCTAGATTTAAATTTAGATTTAGCTTTCAAATTTGACAATTTCATTTCAATCACGAATTTCGAGTATCGAAATTCAAAAATAGATAGGGGCGAATTTTGAGATGTATTGAAATTTCGAAGTAGTTCGAATATCAAATTCGAATAGCTTATTAAGCTAAATTTAAAGCTGGTGGCAAACCAGCTTGAAGATGAAATTTAAATGTTACAAAAGTCGAACGAATCTGAAGCCAGATTGAATATCGAAATTGGAAGGCAGCTTATGCCAAATTTCCAGCTTGAGTTAAGGCCGTATTTCATTTAGCTTTTGCATTGAAATTCACTATATTCATTTTACGTTTATACATGTATAGGAGAAAATTGATTATCAATTATTTAAATTAAATTCAGAAAAGAGGAACTGTAGAAATAGAGAAAAAAAAGATAATTTATTGGTTCAGCCTAGTATAAAAGACAAATATTGTCAGCTAAAAATTCAGATTTTTGCAATATTAATTTCTATCTTCGAACTTGCTCCACAAACAAACTCTAGGTCTAAACTCGGTCTTTAATGACTTTGCAAATTATGAAACTCTAGCTAAAAATTCAGCTCAAGCTCAAAATTTGGCTTCAGCTTACCAAGGCTTTTGGTCTTCTGACTAGTTCAAATGTCAACTCATGCTTGAAATTTGGCTTTAAATTAGCTATCTAAAATTGTGATGTTCCAGCATGCTCGAAATTGAGCTCAAGCTCGAAGTTCGGCCAAGCTGTTCTTCAAGCTGGCTTGAAATTCAAATCCAGTTCGATATTCGACTTTTGCAAATGTTGAATTTGGCCGAAATTTAAATTTCGATCTTTTACTGTATCGGGATTCAGCTTTGGTTAAATTTGAATTTCGATCTTCGAAGTTGCTCGCGGTTCAAAGCTAACTCAAAACTCAATAAAAACTGAATTTTGATCTTCGATTTCAATGCTAACTTTTCGATGCTTGTTATATATACCTTGTAGTTGTAAGATGCAGACAAATACATGTAATTTGTCAGGAATTGTTAAATTTTTAAAATAATTAAATCTAAACTACACTGTAGATTGCATGTGATTGCCTCGGAAATCTAATTTCGCCTATTCCTTTCTGAACTTTGTTATAAATCTTTTATTCATCTTAGGCTGTCCAGAAAGATGTGGCAAACTTTCAACTACAAAAAGTTACGTCATAGAAGGAGATCCAGTTGCTTTTCAATTTTCTGTTGATCCCGGTAAAAACATCACATGGGAAAAGAAAGTCGAGACTACCTATACACAACTCAAAGATCAAAAATATAGTATAAGAGTGCTACAAGAGAGAAAAGTGCACAGCCTCGATATTTTAAAAACAGAATATAGCAATAGTGGAGAATACAGAGTAAATTGCGGTGACACTGTGTCGAATTCGATCTATCTGAATATCGGTAACTAAAACATACTTTACCACCTTATTGACATCAATTTTTGCAAAGAAAAAAAAATAACTATCGTTATTCTTTTTGAACAAGAGCTGTCCAAAGTGCATCACCATCAATTTTTCCTAGTGCAAGTTAATATGATAAAAGTACAATAGGAATTATTTTAAAAAAAAATAACAAAGCAAAGCTGACGGGAAATTACCAGCACCGAAAAGTTAACAAGTATTTTCTTATATTTGGTGATTTTGTGGGCAAATAAAAAACATGTAAAAAGAGATAATTAAACAAAAATAACTTTCAGAGTAATCTGCATTTTAGAAAACCATTTCAGTTTGATAAATGTTCAAAACTTCAGCACAAACACTACGAGTTTAAAGTGAATATCTTCCATATTTATTTGAGAATTCAACTTATCAAAAGGAATAACTAAGAGTTAAAATTAAGTTAAAAGACGCATAACTTTGCCGACTATAATTTCAAAAATATCCGACCTTTTGATATGGCTTCATATTTTGACAATAGATAAGTGCTTAGAGTTTGAAAAAAAATGATAGTCATGGGAAAATGGAATTTAACACTTTACAGTTCCATGTGAAGTTGACCTTTGACATGTTGACATGGCAACGAGTGTGACAGGTAGCGGTATTTTATCTGAATCTGCATATGTAATTTTATGTTCCTGAGTTATTGCACTTTTACAAGTCCCAGTGACCATTTGTCCTGAAAAAAGTTGTGACAGGAAAAATCTACATGCACAGCAATTTATCGGTGACAAGTTTTATAGTTTATTATTACAGGTTTATGTGATCTTGATATTTGACCTTATGATCTTAACATGAGTTTGCTTGTAGAACTCATCAAGATGCATCTTTAAAGTTTTAAGTTCCTCGGATGATACATTTCGCTTAAATAATAGCCAATTTTGTTCAGTCATTACAAAGCTTGTTGACAATGAAGTTCCATGGAAATGAAAACATTTTTAGCATTGAATATAATGACCATGCATGAAAACCTTACCAACGACGATGCTTATGCTATCCCCTTGATAGCCTTTGACAAACTTTTATGTAATTGATATTGATCGGATTTCGAGACGTTAACGTTGTGATCATCATTTTAAACACGAATTTTAAATTGCTATTGCAAATTCAAATGTTGTTTTTTGTTGTTTTTTTTTTCGCACAACGTCATTAGCAATAGGCATGGCATTTTAATGTATTGTGCAATAATGTTAAATAAACGTCTCAAAAAAGCGCCTACATCAACGAACTGCACAGAGTGTGTATAACCATGGATTTGTTTGATATGTGCTACAGACAAGTTATCTGCGTTTCCAAGTTAGACATAATATCTGTTTTTTGGTATTGCTCTCCGATTTAGTTTAAAATAACACAATCTGTTTCATTAATTTTCCTTTAATTTCAGTGTACAGTCCACCATCAAACCCAGTATTTTCCAATGTGGTATCCAAGTTTTACTGCGAATCCGAGGAATGTATATTGGCTACTCTAGATAAATTAGTAACGGTAGAATGTTACGTAGTAGGCGGATCAAAACCCATAGAACTTAACATGTTTAAAAATGGAGCTAAACTAACGAATACCAACAAAACCAGTAAAGATATAAATACCATAACTTATAACTATATCAGATACAGCTTTATACCAACTATGTCAGATATAAACGCCATGTTTACATGTACAGTAAACAATCCTGCAATTCAAGAACCATTGGCAACGTCTATAATGCTATATACTGAAGGTATGTGTTTAATACGTTCAGAATGTTTTTGGTGGGGTTTAAGATGCAACATTACTGGGGGAAACCACCAGTGCTCATCTGTGCAATATTTCTGGTAGAAACGGACACATTATACAGAAAGTATTTGGTAAAATATTGTATCAAAAATTGGTTCATACACTAGTCATTTTGTTACAAAAACAAAACGTTCTTTCTGTTCTGTAATTCATTGTTACTTTACCAATATTAATATTTCAATTGGTAATGTATAAAAACCTTCTTAACCGTATCACATGCATTTATCATTTAGCAATAAAACGAGCGTTTTGTTTTATTAAAGATTTGACGTCTGGTTAGTTTAAGATAAAGAAACAAGAAAAGGCCGATGAAAAAACTTGTTGATAAGCTGTATAGCAATATCTAAAGTACTTTTATATTTTAGTTCCCCCAAAAAGTATAGAAGTTAATGCCAACGAAGTAGTAGAAGGAGAACAAGCTGTAGTTCAATGTATTACAAAGAATGTCAGACCACCGTTGATGTCGGACCTATCCATAGGTATTGAAAAGCCTAATACAACAAAGAAAGTTGAAAAAGCTCCGGATAATCTGTACACTATCACCACGTCGACAACTCAGATTTTTAAGCGGATTCATAATCAGGATAAGGTATATTGTTGCAGCAAAATTGGTGAAAATAAATGCGAAACGAAGAACATTAACGTATTATGTAAGTTCCATTTAAGATTTAATTTTTATTCTGTTTTTGGTATTATTTGATTGATTGATCATTTTAAAAAAATTGATATAAACAGTACTTGTATTTATTTATTTATTTATTTATTTATTTATTTATTTATTTATTAGTTAACATTCTATTTTTGACAGCTTGTGAAAATTTTATCCTTTTGGATATTTGACTAAAATGTTGCATCAGATTTGGAGAACAAATATGAATATGTTAATTTATCACATATAACATTATATAGACACGATAATGAAAATGGTATGTACATTTGCTGAAAGTGTTAAAAAGGTGTTAAGGATGACAAAATATCAATGCTGGGGAGTTGGAGACATGAAAGATGTAGGTGCTTGTTGTAAATATTGAAAGAAATATACTATTTATATTGATAAACGAGACTTAAGTTAAGTGAGTCCCGCTTTATATATTAGGTTTAATCATGTAACAGCATGACTCTGTTTCTGATATCTTAACCGATCACTTTTATTTTCACATAAATTAGTTCCACCGAAGAATGTTACTGTTGAAGAAATTTCCAAACACAATAAAGAAAATGGCGACACCGTAATGACATTGAAGTTTATAGTCGCAGAATCTAATCCTAGAAGTTCTATTGACTTAGGTGGTCTTAAACATGTCCAGCGAAAGATGGTCGATAAAAGGAATGACCCGGTGAATGAAACGCACGGATGGATATATACATTGGTAAGTGAAATATTTAAACGCCTGTCTCTGTCTCTCTCTCTCTCTCTTTTCTGCCACTAATAATAAATCATTCGTAAACAGGATCTGATCTGGCTCAATATTTTATTCGTGTACAATTTGGAATCGTTTTGTAAATGATTGTCTTAAAACGTTTTGAGGAGATTCTTTGAAACAATAATCTATTGAAATAGGAAATGGTTGTGTCATGGAATTTATTCGAAATTACATGTTTATTTTCTAATTTCTAATATAAATCTGGCTATATACATGTATTTTACTGTACAAGAAATAAAATAAACACATTTCTTACATAAAACATAATAGCCATATATTTTCTATTGCGAATTATTATACTTAAACATTTCGTTACAGTATACATAAAATATTGGATGGTTTATTTGGCTTTTCCCTAAGTTAAATGTTAGTACACATTTTGTTTGTTGATCTGCATTTTCACAGACCCGTTCAACTGATATTTACTATTTTGAATAATTATCAACGCATAAGGTTTGCTTGTGTTTTATTGTGAAATAAGATGAAAAGATATTCTTGTATATTACTTCAATATTTTTATTATTTCCAGATAATATTTCTATTATTTCCAGATCTGGAGCTTCAATTTCAAAAAAGATGATGATAAAAGGGAGATAAAATGTGATGTGCAAAATGACGGTTTTCCCGACCTTGAATTGAGTTACATATATACATTAAACATTACATGTGTGTGTTATTTGTTAAATTATTTATATTGTGTTTTGAAATTCGTTATCTTAAAAAAACTTTAAAGCTTTTATAGAAAATCCGCAAAATCTTTAATAAAGATTATTATTTTTACAATTCCTCTTCTAAATAGAAATTCAAAAGACTGTCATGGAATGCTATTTTGAAACATTCTTTGTCAATCAGAGAAACTATATACATGTGCCATATGAAACACCATTTTTGGATCTTTATTTACTTCCGTTATTTCAGATTATCCAATAGTAACAATATCAGAAAATGAACATAAAACTGTTTACCTTGGTGAAGATGTTGATTTGACATGCGATGTAGACAGCAATCCCCTATCAACACTTTCGTGGCACAATCAGACGGCCGTAATTGATGGTAAATAGCAGACAATTAAATGTTTTTGAAAATATTAAAGAAAATAACAAACCTTTTCACCATATAACATTATGAAATTTAATGCTTACGCAAGGTAAGTTTTCTATGCAATATCTTTAAATTGAAAGCTATTTCATTTGTTTTTTTTTTTTACTTTTTTACTATTTTATATTTCCGCCAGAAATGTAACGTGTGTCTATGCTAGTATTCTGTATGAGCTTTTTTATTTGTTGCGTTAAACTCACTCTGGTACGCACAATTCAAATGGCGACTTTTTTAAGTTTGCTAAGAATACCTCTAGGGTCGTTCTTTTACGAGCAGGTACCTAGGTAGAACCACTGATCTTTATAGCTTCTGCACCTGTGAAATTAGGGGTTATTGATTTGACGTGAAAGACATTAAGCATTCGATCAAAAAGTCCACTATTTGTTTGTTAAAACACATTTTTAAAGTACTCAAAATGAATCAATAATCTAAATAAAAGTTAGATTTTGTATTTATTTTTATAGAGATATTCGGAGCAAAAAGAATTGAACTTCATTTAACAAACGTTTCGACAAACCATTCCCAGACATACAGTTGCAAGGCCCAAAATGGAATTGGTGGAATTGTATCAAGAAATATAACGCTTACTGTAAAAGGTATAACTTGTACGCTACAAACATTATTGTTATATTCATGTTGTCTTAAATGAAATGCAAGGGATAACTTTAGATACATACATGTATATGTTGTTGGAAAATAGAATGTGTCCATAAAACTAAAAACTCGTATTCTCTTCAGTGATAAGAAGTAATTTAAGCTAATCTAAGTTACTAAGTATTAAAAACTATAACTAAAACTATATTTTGATAATTTGTTGTTTAATCCCATAGGGAAGTGCAGTAGACAACTTGGAATCACAAGGTCTTTACAAATCCTTTTCAATGTGTTTGAACTTTGTTAATTTTTCAAAAATTATATTTGTCCTTAAATTTGATCGTTTTTCTTTAAAGAAAAAGCACGATTATATATCAGCATACAACTCATATTTTATTTCAAAAATTAATGTTTGGGCAAATTTGAATATCTTACATTCACAACTTCACTCTGAATATGGCTTGAACGATCGAAAATTTGTAAACACACTGAAAAGTCGTTTTTTATTCCAAACTTCAGAAGGGTAATTTGTGTTCTGATCAACTTATTTATAAAACCTATTCAACAATTTTGATGCATTCTATTTGATTCGATAGATTAATTGCCTTTTCGCAATTCTCTAGATCCATCTGAAAGACCAGTAACAGAAGCAATCAAACCATCGGCCGAGTCAAACATTGCCACATTGGTGGGGCCTGTAGTTGGTTTACTTTTTGCGATACTTATAGCAGTTATTGTGGCTCTTATTATACGTACGAAACGACAGAATGAACCATTAAACAAGAGGAACATTCATGAAATTAAAATTGAAGAAAGAAAACCGTATGTATCATTACTTAAGATATATATTACTTAGGACATTTCATTTCCATTCCGTTGATTAATTGTACACACAAACAAAGGAAGCCAATAAACTGCAATTCTTCTTCATTTTTCTTTTTGTTACGAACAAACGAACAAACAACATATTGAATTGTCAGATATGAAATGAAATTAATCGGAAACAAACTATTTGTATTCAAAAGAATAATTTGTAGATATCAATCAAGATACTTCAAACAAGAGATGGCATGTGTAGAGCTGGTAGGAAAACTCGCGTACCACAAAAACATAACAATAAACCCGTATAGTTACAAAACGAAACAAAATGTTTCCTAATACTGTTTTTTTTCTTTTTCTTCAGAAGTTTACATCCGACTGGAAATGGTAAGGGTACTAAAACAATGCATGCAGTATTGTTATTGCAATTTAACTTTATCCCTATGCAAAATGTAAATAAAGCCTCTTCAATCCGCTGTAATATACCTATAACGGCCCTCCAACGTATTCAACCGATTTCCGATATTGATGGCATTGACCTTAAATATTGTCTTTTGGGGCAATATCACTAGGTCAGTCACCACAGAGGCATATTTAATACCTAAACAGAAGGTTTAGAGTAGAACTTTGCGATGCAGTAATGCCATTTAAGTTAAGATATATAGCAGAATTTGTCCAATTAAATGATACAATCGTCTAATTGTCATTACATTGTGTCGAGATGTTGCATTCGTTACCAACAGAAAGTTGACATGACAAAACATGCATGTTGATAGCATTTTTCGGTTTTACTTTGTTAAAAGAAGTCATGATACCACGAGTTTTTGGTGCAAGACGTTTACATATTTTTCTTTATAATTACTCATTTTACGCAATAAAGACATGTTATTCCATTTACAACTATGTTTCATTCGGATACATTATTTTACGCTCCATGTTAATGTAAATGTTTAATATCATGTATACGTACTGCAATTAAATGCACCGCTACGTCTTTTCTCCTGTCTTTGTTAGATCATGTTCTTATTACACAATTTGTTAGAAACATAACTTTTGTATTGTATGAAACTCTGTTTTGTCTTTAATCCGAAAGAACCCGTATACAATAACACGGCAGCGGCGTCTGGAAAAGCTGAAGCGGTCGAACAGCCAGAATACGCATGCGTCATTCCAAAGAAAGACAGAGGAGAAACTAACAATGAGGCAATTAAAGATGCAGGAAACAAAAATGTAATTATTGAAAAATCTGTAATATATAATTTGTAACTGATTAATTTAAAACAATAATAGCTGTTTTGATTTTTCCATAATGATTTATTATTTCCTCATATAGGTGTTGATATTATTTAAGTTTTAAGATGGAAGTTCAAAAATTTGTTTATTGAAAACTGGTCATTGCGAAGAAGTAAATGAATATGTCTAAACATGATGAATGATTTTATTAGCTCACACACGATAACAAGAAAAGTGTGGTATCTCTTATGTTCAAATCAGAACATGATTTAGTTCTTCTTAGCACAGAGTGCGTTTTGTGATGGGGTGATGTCAGCCGTTGAGTGTCGTCAGCTGCTAGTCGTAAATCGTTATCTATAAATTATTTCTTAAGACCCCCATTCTGAAATAACTAACATGCACATTTATTTAGATTTTTAAGCTCCCCGAAAAATTTCGAGGGAGCATATAGTCGTCGTGTTGTCCGTCCGTCCGTACGTATGTATGTACGTACGTACGTCCCGAATTCGTGTCCGGTCCATAACTTTGTTATCTGAAGTCGGATTTTAAAACTATTTCACAGAAATGATCACCATATTGACACGACGTGTCGCGAGCAACATTTGGATCGCTACCTTGAAGGTCAAGGTCACAGCATGACCTTGCAGCAAAATCGTGTCCGGTCCATAACTTCATTATTTGAAATTGGATTTTAAAACTATTTAACAGAAATGATCACCATATTGAGATGACGTGTCGCGCGCAACATTTTGGATGCTACCTTGAAGGTCAAGGTCACAGCATGACCTTGCAGCAAAATCGTGATCGGCTAGTAACTTCATAATTTGAAGTCGGATTTTAAAATTATTTCACAGAAATGATTACCATATTGAGACGACGTGTCGCGCGCAACATTTTGGTTGCTACCTTGAAAGTCAAGGTCACAGCATGACCTTGCAGCAAAATCGTGTCCGGTCCATAACTTCATTATATGAAGTCGGATTTTAAAACTATTTCACAGAAATGATCAACATATTGTGATGACGTGTTGCGCTCAACATTTTGGATGCTACCTTGAAGGTCAAGGTCACAGCATGACATTGCAGCAAAATCGTGTCCGGCCCATAACTTACTTATTTGAAGTCGGATTTTAAAATTATTTCTAAGAAATGATCACAATATTGAGAGGACGTGTCGCGACTAACTTTTGGGTCGCTACCTTGAAGGTCAAGGTCACAGCATGACCTCGCAGCAAAATCGTGTCCGGTCCATAACTTCATTTTTTGAAGTCGGACTTTAAAACTATTTCACAGAAATGATCACCATATTTATACGACGTGTTGCACTTAACATCTTGGTTGCTACCTTGAAGGTCAAGGTCACAGCATGACCTTGCAGCAAAATCGTGTCCGGCCCATAACTTCGCTATTTGAAGTCGGATTTTAAAACTATTTTACAGGAATGATCACCATATTGAGACGACATGTCGCGCGCAACATTTGGGTCGCTACCTTGAAGGTCAAGGTCACAGCATGACCTTGCAGCAAAATCATGTCCGGCCAATTTCTGCGTTATGTGAAGTTGGATTTTAAAACTATTTCACAGAAATGATCACCATATTGAGACAATGTGTCGCGCGCAACATTTGGGTCGCTACCTTAAAGGTCAAGGTCACAAAAATTGTGACCAGCCCATAACTTAGTTATTTGAAGTCGGATTTTACAACTATTTCACAGAAATGATCATCATATTGAGACAATGTGTCATGCACAACATTTTGGTTGTTTTTACACTTTGAACTTTGTCTGTGACACTACAACAAGAGGTATACCTTCCTGTGTCCAAAACCTATTCGGGGAGCATCACCCGGTTCAACCGGCTCTTGTTTTAGAACTTTATGACACTAGGCTAAGATAATTTGGTCATGGCATTTCAAGCGTTTATGAAGAAAAGACGAATGAATTATATTGTATACATTAATAATACAAGTTAGGCCTGTCTGGGAGGCCATTTCTATTGCATAGACATATAGCTTCTACAATTCTCACTGAAACGTTATGCAGAAAGCTATGGTACTTGGAATGCAAAAACTGCCTAGTGTACCCTACAAAAGATATCTATCCTGACTCTATGGTCGAAAATTAATCTCTGCTCCTTGTTGTTACTTATTCTATCCAGACCAAATTATTTTTTTCTCAATCTACATGATCAAGGGCTTCTATTTTTAGCAAAATTAAAATAAAGCAGAACTTTTGTTTTCTTACCAACCATTTATCTACACGATACGCTATAGTTAGAGCACACAAAAGTGTGCGTTACGATGTTTTATTCTTCTTTGTCTCTAATGACTAACACAAGTTAGTCTGCAATGTCAAATTGACACTATTTTCTTTACCCAAAAAGTGTCTCCCTGTTTTTATGTTAAGCAATATCAAAAACAAATGCTTATTTTTACAGAACGAGAGTGGAGACAATCTGGTGTATGCTGACCTAGATCTAGCCGAATATCCTGACCTGGCAGCTAAGAGGCCACTTGTTACTATGCATGAGCAGACAGAATATGTATCGATAGATTTCAGTAAGACCGGCACAGCAGCGATTGCAGACAGTAGTGGAGACGGAAATTAAAGCATGTAAAACTTAATTTGGGACCATCTACATTGTAACTGTTACGGATACAAATGAGCACAATTAACTTTATTCCGTTACACTAGAAGGTGGGGCAAAGAAAATATCGAAAGAAATTACCCCCATCAGGCAAACCTTTTAAGCTAAATAATTTATTAGATTAACCTTGTTTTGTATCTTGAATGATTATTTATTTTGTCTTTAATTTTGGTATAAGCGGCTGAAATGGCAGTCCAAAGATCTGGGAAGTTTTTCATTAGTGTTATAGACTAACTTTATTGTATTTTGTTTGCATTCTCTTTATTTATCAATTTTGTTTTGTTTGACTTTTTAAGTAATGTTTTATTGATTTTCATTTATAGAAAGAAATTTGCATATTTACTATATGATAAATGAAAACTGCTAAGCCCATATTGTTTATCAGTAACATTAATCATATTTATAATTGTTCATCTGATATCATTAGACAAATGTCACATACATATATGAATCAATTCTGTCCAGGTCACCTTGATGTTCAATTTCTTCGTTTTTGTTATTTAAAAGAGGTTCTCTTCTGCTTTTGTTACAGATAAGGAGTAACGATAAATTAAACACATCAAGTATCACATTTTATTACATTAGACAGTTATTGAAAATTATAAACTTAGTGTATCTGATAAGTTTTGATATAATTCTTGTTATTTTGGACAAAATCTAAAGTAAAATAAACTCAGTCAGTTCTTAAGTAATATAAACTGTTTACTAGAAAATGTAATGATATCTGCATGCGGTCTAAAATAATTTGTGGAAGGAAGTATTGTTAAACAGAATCTAAATATCTGAGCAATTTAACTAGAAAGGAAAATAACTATCTTGACTTTATATTTTATATAAGTACTATCCTTTACATTTTATTCAATCTGACAGTAACTATCCTTTAAATTTAGGTTAAGAACTATCTATTTTAGAATGACTAATAATAGTGAATATTTTCTTTATCAAAATACAAAGATTCAATATAAATGAACTCATCAAAGTTATACATTAAAATGAATTTGTTGCGTAATTTGTCCGTAAAGGTATTGTTTTTTGCAAGAAAGGTTTCGATTGTAAATTTGTGCGTTTGTGTGTTTTTATGAAAATTATTTCAAAACTTTATCATCATTCTGTTGTTGTTTTAAAAAGATTGCCTCATACGTTTGGACAAATAAGAAGTTTGTTCAAATACATTACTTTTTGTAGTGGGATTATATAATTGCTTTATCATTGCGTTTTGTTTGAATGTCAAATGTTAAGGTTTTATCGATAAATATTAATCTTGAATAATCGTATTAGTCCAAATTTAGCGCTTCATTTAATCAAATGTGTTGAGCTTTAAAACAAAATCGGCATAGCAAAAAATCACTTCTAAAAACTGCTCATCTTTACTAACGAGGGAATACCTCAAGGGGTTTTTTGTGCATTATTTCTGGCATGAGCGAGTACTTTGTAGCTAAGTTTATCCACCGATCTCATGTAAGCTACCAGGATAGCATTTATACATGAGTCCAAAATCCTTGTTGGATTTCAAACCCACAGCTTCAGCATTTACCTCGCTAAAATGAAGACTCCTAATATTTCATCTGGTATACATTTTGACGCTAGAAAAAGTTTCACTCATACAGCAACTTTTTCACGATATTGCAATAATACCTAGTTCTACTGTTGGCAACCATTCTAGAAATTTTAGCATTGATCAATTTGCAATAAGCTTACATTATGCCATGCTGATAATAGTTGATGTTATCTACATACTATTAATTAGTTTATTTCTTATTTACTTAATTGACAATTACATTTAAGTAATTTATTCAAAATAACTTTTTCCGTTCGTCCAGAATATCTGTCTAAATTGCTGCAACAATGTTATAATCAGTTATGACATTAAAATGCTTTATTTATGCACCGTTGCTGTTGTTGTTGTTTCTTTAACACAACAGACCATGTTAACATAGCATTTGACAGAAGTATAGTATTGTAAAGATATTGATGACAGTATAGTATTATAAAGATATTGATAGTAGAATGTTTATTGCTGCAACATGTTTGATATGTTGTTTTAGGTAGTCGTTGCTGGGGGACATGGGCGGTAACATGCACTTTTCATTATCCTCCATGAACAGGAACCATCAGATCGAGCCTGCAACAGTTTCTATTTTGCCGTGACGGGCGTTATTTTAGGATTCCGTTTTTATCTATTTTTTACGTACTTCATACTTTCTTCATGAACATACTAGACAATGTAAAATTAATGTAATAACTTTTGACAGTATGAATAAACATCACCTATATTTAATATTTATAACATGAAGAAACAGAAGTACCTGTCATATTATTTGAGCCGCGCCATGACAAAACCAACATAATGGGTTTGCGACCAGCATTGATCCAGACCAGCCTGCGCATCCGCGCAGTCTGATCAGGATGCTTACAAACCCTATAACAAGTAGTGAAACTGATAGCGAACAGCATGGATCCTGATCAGGCTGCGCAAGCTGGTCTGGATCCATGCTGATCGCAAACCCATTATGTTGGTTTTGTCGTGACACGGCTCATTTGATCATTGATACGATATAACACTAGTAGGTCAAGTACCAAGTTAATTTTTTTAAATAATGTTAAGCAAAAGGAATATAAATGTCAAGATTTATTAGAATTTGATACTTATAAAGATTATAGATTTTTTTTTTTTTTCTTACTGAAAACGTGTGTAAAAAAGTTACACGCATAAGATAAGAGTAATTTGAAAATGAAAATAATGTCATAAAAGTAGAAAAGGTTTCTATTCTATTGTATTGTTTTTGTTGAACAAGGATTTGAGTTGTTTTACACTAATATATCTTGTAAATTAACAGAGCTCATGCCTCCAGATTCATGCAAAGTTTCGTGAACATTTTGAAAATGTACTTAAATGGAATATATAGTAAAGTAAACAAAAAAGATAAATAACACAATGCAAACGACACTTAAAACCACGTTATTTACAATAAAGAGGTCAAAATATGCAAAATAGCCCTAACGGTGTCATTCGAGCAAAACTCTTTTTACTTTTATTAAGAACTTTGTACAATTTTTCACCAAGTTTGATATTTTAGAAACATCTTAGCTTATCGGGAGGAATACAGCTTTAAGTGTTTTTCATGTGTTTAATTTTGAATAAATTAGGCTGGACAGTTTAAATTATCATAATTTCTAAAAAAAGAAGATAATTTTTGACTTGTGTTGAACAAATTGTTCTTGTAGTTTAAAAAGGTGATACAGTGAAGATGGTAATTGAAAGACGTGTCATGAGAAAAATAAAAACTCATTTCCTGCTGTTTTGTTATTATCTCTCTTTATTCATTCTCCTTACTGAGATACAACTTTCTATTGATTACTCTTGAGAGGATTGACTTCGAATACCAAAACCGAGCAAAAGGAGAAATGTTCCGTATACGTAATCATTCCCTTAATGTGGGTTTTCTTTTCAAAAACATAACTCAAAATTATACAAATATTGGCGTGAAACTTTTAAATAGATACGTGACATTAAGAAACTATTTAGCCATATTTTCATGTTTTTCATTTATCTCATCTTTGCAAATTTTCTTGATTGTTTTCCTGAATATGACCTAGTTAGGTTGACTGAAAACATTAATTAGTATAAGTTGAATATCATTATTGGTGAAAAATCAAAGAAATAATAAATTACCTAGGTCTTCTCTTGCTGGCAATGATCATAAACCTAGAATTATAGTTTCTGTATTTTGTACTTGTATCTGTCCCTCTTATTAGTGTTTATCCCATTTCCTTAATGAACTTGCCCAGTTTCTTTTTTTAGAACTGTCCTTTGTCATGATTACGGAAAGTATAGAGATACCTAGCGATATAAAGCCTGGTTGTATCATAGTTTGAGGGCATTTCTGTTGAAATTTTGTCAAAGTTTAATCGTATACATATACATGCACAGTGCATTAACTGGAGTTCAGGTATAAGTTACCCGTACTACAGAGCATGCCTATTGATTGGCTCATTTTGCTGGGGTTTACTTATTGTGACGGCAGAGAAAGGGAAAGCGATAGAAATATCATATTAAGATGCTCATTCATTGGTTACTTTTTTCTAGGGTTTCATAGTGTGACAGTATGATGCAAAAAGAGAAAGAACATCAAAACACTCGGCAATCTGATTAATACTCGGGGGTATACTGATTAAAAATCCTGTATGTTTTGAGATTGATATTGTAACTGTGTGTATTCTACACTTGCAAAAAATTATATAATGTATATAATTATGCAGACAAAACAATTTTCAAACACCGAAGAATATGTAAAATGTATACTGCAAATATTTGTGCACATTGTATTTAATCAATAAATTTCATGCATTCATTTCTTATTGGAAAATTTCACTGAGAATTTATAGAAAATAAATTTCTAATAACCTCCCTTTATTTACATGAAATGTTAAAATTGGGTACCATATTGAAAAATCTTAATTTGAGCATCATATCAATGAAATAAAACCATGAAAAAATTGTGTAACAGGATCTTTCATACTCGGGGGTATACGCCCCTCGTTCAAATGAGATAGCCTCGTGTTTCGATGTTCTTTCTATTTTTTGGACTGGCTATGTGCAGGTTGGCCTTGCTCTATACTGGTAGCAAAGACTCAACACTTTTAACTAGTAGGGTAAACATTAAAAGCGCTGTGCCGATGTACTAAACACCTTAAATGTCACATTTAGTTTTTCTTTCTGTGTGATATGTTTTTCTTATGTGATATACAAGTTATAAAAAGTAGTCAATAAATATTATGATCGTGGTTATGACTCAAGCATCTCAATAATTCATGAAGTCAATTACCTTTTAATGTGATCTTACATTTTACACATGATGGGTCACGTCTGACATTTTGTATGTGTACCTATATTAATATATATGTGTCAGGTCATAACAGAGCAAGACTTTCATTTTTACCTCAAAATCTCTGCCTCTTTACACCACAGGCACGAGTATCGGACCTGGGAAGAAAAAATATGACCAGATTGATAAAAAACAACCTGTGTCCATCTTAAAAGTGTAAAAAAAACAAAAAAATTAAATAATGCCCCCCTATAAAAATATATTATAAGTTAAGAGAAGGCCGGAAACTCCAGATTCGAGCCTACGAGCAAGGGATTCATTTCCCGGGCCGTTGTGAAAACAATTGGCCAGAGAATTAAATAAAACTTTTATCACCATTTCATGTTTATTTTAAGCTTCAAAATGAGACCAACCCCAAGTCTCTAGCCCATCCCGTTCATGAAATATCTATCAGGAAACGAGCGAATTCGTGCTAAAAATCCTTGGTAGACAGAATTGCGGCACAACAATTCGGTACGTAAACATAGACTAATACATGTATGTCAGCTGAGTACGGGTCAAAATCACTTGAATTTACTAAATAATATTACTAAATACATTAAGTTGGACCACTCACAATTGTCAGGAGCATCTAATACACACGAGATTCGAGTTTCAAACATTTTCAGGGTCTTTCAATAGCTTTATACGCCATTAGGCATCCTTGTGTGAAACGTTGCGGTTTCCGTTGCTATTGGCCAATCAGAAGACTCGTTACAAAATATCGAACAGCTGATTGACAATGGCGTAGAAAGGAATGTAAAGAACGTGAAAAGGTTTGATACTCGTGCCTGTGCTTTACACACTTCACTGCGTATCATCAATATTATTTTATAAGATATACCTTTCAAATCATATTTCAATGATGATATTCTTAATAAAAAGTGGCCCGCTTAATTAATGAACATCGAATTATACATTGGGGACAAATTAGTCAACTCATGTAATGGACTAATATGAATTATGTACATAGTTGGGATTTTCTTTTCATTTTTTTACCTTTGATATTTGTCCGCTTTAAGTGATATGATAGTTTGTGTATTATGTAAATTGTGTATATAAAATACCTAATTTATATTATCTAAACCATCAATGTGAAGCAAGATGAAATAAAATATGAAAGAATATTACTGTAAATAGGAGGCAACATGACAATAGAGATGAACATGACTATTGATATTAAACAACGTGACTATCGATATGAAGCAGCATGACTATAGAAATTGAGCAGCATGGCTATAGATATGAAGCAACATGGGTATAGATATGGCAACATGGCTATAGATATGAGGCAATATTACTATTAATATGAAGCAACATGAATAGTATAATTTTTGAAATTGTATAGTCTGTTTCAAAGTTTATTTTACAAAATAAGTATATTTTTTCAAATGTTAAGTATGTTCCACAGCTTTTTTTGTATGGGTATATTTATTATGTATGAAATAGTTAGCCATTGATGTCAATTAACCTATGTACTTGAATATATTGTAAATATGTTGCCTCTCATGGACCAGTCTGGCCTAGAAAGATATTTCATTGAACATAAAATTGTACACATACAATTTAAAGTTATACAATTTAGATGCTGTTATAAATGTTTTAAACTTTTTCATTAAGAAGCCGAGAAGTAATGTTGACAAATATAAACAAAGGTTGAGACATATCTAACAGAGTTTGCATGAAACGGCTTAAACATGTAGGAAAAAAGAAGAAAAAATATTGTTAACGTTGCCGAGAAGTACTGTGGTATTGTTGACAAGTATAAACAAAGGTTACGGCATATCTAACAGAGTTTGCATAAACATGCTTATACATGTAAGAAACAAAGTAGAAAGATATTTGTTAACGTTGCAACATATCAATATCCATCAATTAAACGGCAATAATTAATAATTCTAAGGTGAATGTACTTAGCATTTGTTGTCGTAGTTATCTCCCTTTTACCAGTTTGCATAAGGAAAAAAGAATGTTTATGGATACTAAAGGTTAAAATCAAAAGTTATGTCCTTTGTCTTAATGCA